ACAGAGCAACGCTGTCATCCAGTATCTCACAGACACTGTAGAAAATCCAGCCCTGACTTGACTGTGATTCACTGGGTGTAGTAACTGCCTTCAACATTGTGTTGAGTGAGGTCATTGTAAAACCAGAACCGTTCTATGGCATGTCATCTCCTTGCAGAAATGCATTCATTGATTGAAGAATTAACGGTCTACAGCCAGATTTTCTTAAAATAGCAGTTGACAAACACTGTGTTCGTTAGGCTAACCAGTGCTATTTGGATTCAGTTCAATTAAAAATGCCTCTGCATTGGGAGGTTGAGGTGGGTGGATCACTTGAGCTCAGGAGTGTGACATCAGTCTGGACAACATGGCAAAACTCCATCTCTACAAAGAATACAAAAATTAGCATGGTGTGGTGGTGTGCACCTGTAGTCCCAGCTACTTGGGAGGCTAAGGTGGGAGGATGGCTTAAGCCCAGGAGGCAGAGGCTGCAGTGAGCTGAGATCACACCACTGCACTCCAGCCTGGGCGACAGAGTGAGGCTGTTTTAAAAACAGACAAAAAAGAATGAAGAAGCGAGCAGACCAGATACTGCTGATAGCTGCCCTCAGAGCTGGGTCTGAGCATCACCTCTCCATGCATAGTAGCCATCCGGGAGCCCCGCTTCCCCTCCTTTCTAGTTAGCATTTCTAATTATTTCTAGTTAGTATTAATTGTTGTTCACACGGCGCACGGTGGCTCATGCCTATAATCCCAGCGCTTCGGGAGGCTGAGGCAGGCAGATCGGGAGGTCAGGAGTTCAAGACCAGTTTGGCCAACATAGTGAAACCCCATATCTACTAAAAAATACAAAAAAAAAAAAAAAATTACACGGGCGTGGTGGTGAGCCCCTGTAGTCCCAGCTATTCCGGAGGCTGACGCAGGAGAATCGCTTGAACCAGGGAGGTGGAGGTTGCAGTGAGCCGAGATTGCGCTCCTGCACTCCAGCCTGGGTGACAGAACAAGACTCCATCTCAAAATAAATAAATAAATAAATAATTTTAAAAATTGTTATTCAAAATATGACAACCTTCTAGCATCATTTGTCTCATGGTCCTCAAACTATTTAAAATAAATTTTTGGCAAATATATTATCTTTATCAGGGAAAGCTCAGACCTCAAAACTGTTTTGTCACAATTAGAGTTCTTTATTTCTAAAATGTTAAGTAGTGTCTATGCTTGATCCTCAATACCTCCCATTTCCCTAACTTTTTAAATGTTAAAAGATGGATTTCTGTATCCTCAATATTTGTTCTTGAGAATGTTGGATATTACATTTTTTTTACTTTTTTGCTTTTTACATGAAATTAGTTTTTATACGTAAAACAGTATTTTGGGCTTTCTCTGTATTTAATTCAGTGAACCTCTATTGGGCAAGTTTTCTGGCTGAAAAGATAAAAAGTATTAGTCTGTATATGTTACAATGTTTTGCAAGACATCTTAAAGAAGAAAGCTCCTTTATATTGTCCTGTGATTAAAAAAAAATTTTATATACATTTTTATGGTAGTGAAAAACACATAACATAAAATTTATCATCTTAACCATTTTTAGGTGTGCTGTTCAGTAGAGTTAAGTATATTTACATTGTCATGAACAGATCTCCAGAACTTTTTCCTTTTCTCAAGCTGAAACTCTATACCCATTAAACAACTCCCCTTAGCTTCTTCCCCCCGCCCCTGAAAACACCCTTTGTTCTGTTTCTGTGAATTTGACTACTCTAAGTGCCTCATATAATTGGAGTCATTCAGTGTCCATCCTTTTATGACAGGCTTGTGTCACTTAGCATTATGTCCTCAAGGTTTATCCATGTTATAGCATGTGACATTAACCTCTTACTTGTTCAGACTGAGTAATATTTTGTGAAATACTTTGTTTATCCATTTATTCATCAACAGACATTTGGGTTTCTTCTGCCTTTTGGCTACTGTGAATAGCGCTGCAATGAACATGGGCAATGCAAATGTCTCTTCAAGACCCTGATTTGAGTTCTTTTAGATATAGACCCAGTAATAGAATTGCTGGATGCTATGGTAGTTCTGTTTTTAATATTTTGAGGAACCTCTGTGCTGTTTTTCATTGCAGCTGTACCATTGTACAGTCCCATCAGCAGTGTACAAGGGCTCTAGTTTCTTCACATCCTTGCCAATACTTGTTATTATCTGTTTGTTTGTTGTTATTGTTTTGATAGTAGCCATCCTTATGGGTGTGAGATTATATCTCATGTGATTTTGATTTTCAGTTTGCTGATGATTAGTGATGTTGAACATCTTTTTATATACCTGTCAGCCATGTGAGATATTTCTCCAAAGACATAAATGTCTATTCAAGTCCCTTGCCCATTTTTAAATTAGGTTATTTGATTTTTTTATTGATGAATTTATAGGAATTCTTTATATATTATGGATGTTAACCCTTTATCAGACATATGATTTGCAGATATTTTCTTCCATTCCATAGGAATGTTTGTGTCCTTTGATGCACAAAATTTTAAATTTAATGTAGTCCCATTTGTCAATTTTTGCTCTTGTTGCCTATGGTTTTGGTGTCATATCTAACAAATCATTGCCAAATCTAATGTCATGAAGCTTTTCCTCTACATTTTCTTCCAGGAGTTTTATAGTTTTAGGTCTTACTTTTAGGTATTAATCTGTTGCATGTGGATGTTCAGTTTCTCCAACATTCCTGAAATAGAATGTTCTTTCCTCCCTGAATGGTCTTGGTACCTTGTTGAAAGTCATTGACCATATACACAAGAATTTACTTCTGGGCTCTCTTGTTTATTCTACTAGTCTAGTTGTCTGTCTTTATGCCAATACCATACTGTTTTGATTATTGTTGCATTGTATTATGTTTTGAAATTTGGAAGTCCTTGAACTTTTTTTTTTACTTCATGAATCCCAAAATGAGTAATTTTATTAATATCTAGTGGGAGTCACTGTATTACATATCCTTTGGAAAGATTGTCATCTTCAAGTGAAAGTAGAATGTTGAGCAATTTCTGAATGTATCTGGGCATTTGCGATAACTTACCTAGTTTCAAATGCAAATTTTGCCTCTACCATAAATTATACAGATTTGCTAGTACATTATCCAGTTTCACAAAATAATTGCATCTACTTCTTGTCCTCTCTAGACTTGTTCTCTATATTACTATTTTTATCATAGAAAAATATATGTGAAAAAAGAAAATCACTTGAATTCCCACCGCCTAGAAATAGTCACTGTTAATATTTAGTAATAATATCCTCCCAAACTTTTTTCATTGTAAATATATACACATAACTATTTTTATCTGTATTGGTAAGCAGTCTGAGAAAATTGATACAAAAGTGTGTGCCTGCACAAAATGGAATCATATTATATACATTCCTTTGTTTTCATTTAATGATATTTCATGAATTTTAAAAAATGTGTATAGTAGGTCTTCATCATCATTTTTAAAGGCCACCTGGTATTTGATTGCCTTGGGTCTACCCTGATGGGTTATTTCTATTGGTGGACATCAGGATTGTGCCTAATTAGCTTTTTCTCTTTTATAAACAATGCTGTGATTGTATTCTTACACATACAGCTTTACCCAGTTGATTTCTTTAGGATGAGTTTCTAAATATGAAATTACTGGATAAGAAGTGTAAACTACTTTATTGAATTCTAGTGACAGATTGCTAAATTGCCCTCCTAAAAGTGTCAATTTCTGTTCCCACAGGCAATATATGCATATACCTATTGACCTATACCCACACCAGCACTTTACCAATTTTCTAAGTAAAAAATGATATATTTTCATTTTAGCTTGAAAGTACTTGATTAATAATGAAGTTAAACATTTTTATTTTAAATTAAAAAAATTAATTGCGGGCCAGGCGCGGTGGCTCAAGCCTGTAATCCCAGCACTGTGGGAGGCCGAGGCAGGTGGATCACAAGGTCAAGAGATGGAGACCATCCTGGTCAACATGGTGAAACCCCGTCTCTACTAAAAATACAAAAAATTAGCTGGGCATGGTGGTACATGCTTGTAATCCCAGCGAGTCAGGAGGCTGAGGCAGGAGAATTGCCTGAACCCAGGAGGCGGAGGTTGCGGTGAGCCGAGATCATGCCATTGCACTCCAGCCTGGGTAACAAGAGTGAAACTCCGTCTCAAAAAAAAAAAAAAAAAAAAAAATTAATTGCATCTGGCTTTTCAGTTTAATTATGAAAATTTAAAGTTATGAAACATTCTTTTGGGAATGAATGTTCTTTGCTTATTTTTTAATTATAGTGTTCATTTCCACCATCATGGTTTTTACCTTATAGACTGAAGGTATAGACAATACTATTACTAGGACAATTTTTCAATCTTTGTTTGCCCCTTACCTGTATTGGTGATGCTGCATTTATTTTTGCCCTTCAGAGGTCTTTAAAAATCTCTCTGTCTCTCTCCCCACCCCCTCTCTCTGTGTGTGTGTGTGTGTGTGTGTGTGTGTGTGTGTGCGCGCGAGCTTGTGTGGTTGCTGTTAATCTCTTCCACTCTGACTCCTGGTTTCTCGTTACCCCTAGAAAGACATTCCCATATCAAGATTATATGAGTATCTCTCTACATTTTTCCATTGCTTTTATGGTTGCTTGATTTTTTTTGTTGTGTTGGTGTCTGAATTCCAAATGCCAAAAACTAGTTCTTTATTCATTTATAAGGTGTTTTGTAGTTTAAGTTGCAATAGAAATGCTGAAGACCACTGACTTTATATTCCCCCACCTGCGCCCCCCACTCCCAGTATAGAAGAAGTGCACTGCGGAGCATCTGCAAAGTTACATTCAGGGGAATTGATATTTCTTAAGTGTTTGCTGCTTCGTCTCCAAAAATGTGCCTACGTAAGATACTATTGTTTAAACCTCTGTGTTCTTTTAACCATAGAACTGGTAATAGAGACTGCTGGTAATTTATGACCACAACTGTAAGCTTAGATGAAAGAGCTAACGAGGAGTATTTTCCTTCCTCTTCTAGATTTTATAGGAAGACAAAACTTGTTGGCTTTCAAGACATGGAGTGTGTGCCTTGTGGAGACCCTCCCCCTCCTTACGAACCACACTGTGAGTAAATGCGACACAGGCAGAGCCAAGGGCACACCCGGCCTTTTGAAAAAGTTTAAATTTGTAAACCTTTCTTCACTGGCCAATGGAGCCAAATCCATCTCTCCTGTGGGGTGTACAGCGTGTCCTGTTTTATCAGGCTTTTAGCAGGACAGAAGGCCCCTTTGTTGTATGCCTCAGTCAGCACACTGGGCCCAGGGATTTGAATCTCAGAGTGTAGTGCAAGACATTTTGCCACCGCTCTGCTGCTTTTGAAGCCTTCCCTTGCATTGTGGGTCTGTAATTCAGGTGACTGCGATTAACCAGGCAGCATACTCATAGGTCTTCATGCCCTGGCCCCATACATCCTGGATTTTCCTTTCCTAGTCCCCAGACTGGATCATGTGGTGGCATCTCTGCCTTCTCAGAAAAGTTCTCTCTGTGAGTCTCCTGCCCTCACTGTGTGTCACTAAATGGAACATAGTTCACTTCATCCATTCCTTCTTTTCTCTCCTTCAACAAATAAATGAGGAAAGAGAACTCATTGCGTGCTGGGGATACAACTGTACATGAGAAAATTCTGGATTTTCCTCTTTATGTTACCATTAGTTACTCCTTTTGACTATATATTTTGCATAGATGTAAAAGCATCAATTTTGAACAGGAAGAAGAGTGGCCTCTCACTCTTTTTAATCCTAAATACAAACCTGGTCAATGAAAACCCACAGGAAGGATACCAGTGAGCAGCGCCCACGTTGCAGGTCACGCTTGTCTATGCCACAGCAGGGCTCAGGTGAGCTGCACTTCACCATGCACGGGACAGTGAAGGGCAGGCAGGAGGACGGAGGAGGCTGCTTTATCTCACACACAGGTCGCTCATGCCTTTCTGGGGAACATTGTTTTGATGTCATTTCCAATGAATGGGCTCTGTCCTCTTGCTTCTTGCTATGATAAAATCCCCTGTGAACTAATTGAAAGGCAGTGCATCATTTGATAAGGTCACATAGTTCTTCTCTTTCCAAAAGTGTCATGGAATTTTGCAGTCCTTATTAGTATGTCCTTTACCAAAATGCATTACTTTCTGTTCTTCATTGGAAATGATAGAAAAGCAAAAGAAATTGGAAGACTTACTTTCTTTCCTTCCTTCCTTCCTTTCTTTTCTTTCCTTCTTTCTTTCCATGGACTCTCACTCTGTCGCCAGGCTGGAGTGCAGTAGCCTGATCTCGGCTCATTACAACCTCCACCTCCTGGGTTCAAGCGATTCTCCTGCCTCAGCCTCCCGAGTAGCTGAGACTACAGGCGTGTGCCACCACACCCGGCTAATTTTTGTATTTTTACTAGAGACGGGGTTTCACCATCTTGGCCAGGATGGTCTTGATCTCTTGACCTTGTGATCCCCCCTCCTCAGCCTCCCAAAGTGCTGGGATTACAGGATTGAGCCATCATGCCCAGCCGACTTTCTAACTTTTATAGAAAATGTATATTGATCTTTGTTTTTATAATAGGTAAACGTTCACCAAATAATTCATTGCAAATAAAAAATGCAATATTGAATGCCTGTTATCAGTCACAATGCGTGTGCTTTACTTATTTTGTTTTACTTACTTTTCTCAATAATCCTACGATCAGTCCAGATTTTTCAATGAGAACACTAGTGCAGAGAGGTTAGTCCTGTTACGTTGTTGGCTGCTAAATGCCAGAGACAGAATATCAGTTCCCCTAACTAAGTCTTTCTGCCACAATCTTCAGTCTCCCCAAGCTCCCTAAGAAAAACCAAGCTATCTAATCTGTCCGACACATTGACTCTTTCTCGTGTTGTTTGTTTAAATATTCATCACTTAAAAAAAAAACCGCTAAAAATCTAACATGTAAGAGACACTGGAAGAGTGTCTTTATGCGACTCCACAACCCATCGAAGGACAAGTTCTCTTGCCAGTTTAACGTGCAGTGACCTGGTCTCACCCGTGGGTCAGCCCAGCCATCATTCTCTCAGAAAGGAGAGTTAAAATCACGCACTGCAGCGCAGACAGCTGCACAGAGATTCCGCGAAGTCAGTATTGCCACTTTAGAGTCAGAAAGTCTTAGGGTTTTTTCCCCTTTAATTTATTGAATTTAAATGTAATACAATCAAGTCAAAACTCTGAAGCTTTGGGATTTTCTGCCTTCGGGGTTCTGGCTAAGCTCAGCTATCTCAAATTTGCTTTTGAAAGTAGATCTCACATGTAACTTTTAGTATCTTATAAAATCATTAGTAATTTAGTGTTGTGTGAAGTCCTTAATATTTTTTTAAAAAATTAACCAGTATATATATGTGTGTGTGTTTCTTCATATATGAAATTTTTTAGAAAGCAAGGAAAAATAAGCTATTTATCAAAGTAAGAAATGCAGTGTGCACAGCTGATAGCCTTTCAAATCCCAAAGCAAGACAGGCTGGTAGTCTTCAGTGAGCATGAGTCCTTATCTCTGTAAAACAAAGTTTGCTGCCTTTGGCACAGTTCTTGGCGATCATTCCAGAACACAACTAATCTCCTCAAACGAGATTTTGAAGGCTTTTGGGAAAATTATGTAAGGCGCCTTGTGTTTTCATTTCTTCTACTGTGGGCTTTTTAAACTCGTCCACAAAGAGCTACTGCTTCAGTGATTTTTTTATCCCTTCGAGGAGTTCCTGTGCTAGACTCTCAACTAAAAGAAAGTGACACCTCTTAAGGTAACTTAAGGAATGGGGTTTGTTTCAAGGACATGCCTTGTAGTGGGAGAGGCAGGAACTCTCCGTCAACCAGGAATAGCCCTCCCTCGGGGTCCCAGTGGCTCGGAGTCTGGGGGCACACTGCACCTCTGCAGAATGAGACCCTATGTGCTGCATGCTCTACAGCTGCTCTCTGGGCCTGCGGCCTTGCCTGTCTGTCCTAATCTAATGGGTCTCTTTGCTCTGCATTTTCCCATTTCTGTCAGGTGCCCCAGGACCACCCCAGTGCCACACCAGTCTGTGGCTGGTGACCTGAGCTCACCTCCCGGAGGGCTAGGTCTTCCCTTGTGACATGGAGTTGTACCTGCCTGCTAAGGAACAGACCCGGCCGCCTGCTGTGGTTGTGTTGCCAGAAGTGTTGGATTCACATCTTGGCTGTGCTTCGTACTGATGGTGTAACCTTAGGCAAATCATCTCCCCCACTTTGAACCTCTGTTTACTCTGGAAAATGCCCAGGTCTGCAGATTTTGGATAGAACTAAATGAACTAGTGTCCAGCAACATGATACCTACCCCCGGGGGGCAAGCCCTGTAATGACTCTCTACCTGCTGGCCTGCCTTTTTCAAACCATGACCCTGCCTGCCCTCAGCCGTGCCCTGACCCAGATGTGCTCTTCAGAGGGTCTGCCGCTTTGGAGTCGTCTCGGACAGGGAGGATCTCATGGTGCCTCTGGCTCTGATGTTTGTCTTGCTGGGGCTTCACCTCCCCTGGTGGGTGAGCACTGAAGGGTACCAGAAAGGGGGTGCCATGGAGTTTTATGCCTCAGAAGCTCAGATGGGGGCTGGGTGCGGTGGCTCATGCCTGTAATTATAGCACTTTGGGAGGCTGAGGTGGGAGGATCACTTGAACCCAGGAGTTCAAGACCAGCCTGGGCAACATAGTGAGACACCATTTCCACAAAAAATAAAAAATTAGCTAGGGATGGTGGCGTGTAGCTTTGGTTCTAGCTACTTGGGAGGCTGGGGTGGGAGGAGTGCTTGAGCCCAGGAGGTTGAGGCAGAAGTGAGCTGTGATTGTGCCACTACACTCCAGCCTGAACGACAGAGTGAGACCCTGTCTCAAAAAATAATAATAAAAATAAAAAGTAAAAAAGAAGCTCGGATGGCTAGACTGAAGACTGAAGAGACCCGAGTTAGGCCAGTCTCTTTCCTCTGTAGCTTGATCTGAGGCCTCCAGCCCCACCCCTACCAGATGATCTCTAAGCCCCACCTCCCCAATAACAATGGATTTGTGATGATAATCAGTTAATCCTCCCATAGCCCCTCTGTCTGTGCACTAATAGCATTAATGTGTGATACTGACTGGTTGAGCATGGAGCTCAGGATTGATGAGTGACATGCCTGTAAATTGCAGATAAATAAAAGACACCCATTACATAGAAATGCCTGCTGCAGGCCTTGTTCCCCCAAGTAACTTCAGTTCCTAATCACCTGTGCCCACTTAGAACTTCAAGGAGAAGTAGAAAAAAACACAAAGTTTAGAACTGTATCCTGGCTTCAGTCTGATAAGAAATACAGATTTAGTATGATTTCTTTTAGCAATGTTTATTTTATTTGGAACAAATACTGTGGTTGGAACAAATGGTTTTGAAAAAATTCAAAGCGGTTTTCACCAGAGTACAACTTTATTTAAGTATGTTTAACCTAGATGTTTGCTTTGTTCTCTGGGGCTTTGTAAGACAAGCCACGTGATTTCTGGAGAGATAAGGGGTCAGATAAATCACCGCGTGGGGGAAAAGAAAGCCTGAGCTGGGCTGACCCGCAACTCTTAGGAAATGTGTGTGGCTCCATAGTCTTAAAAGACAGCAAGCAGTCGTTTGCACCAATAAGTAATAAGTCACATTATTAAAAGTTTATTATTTTCCAAAGGAAGTTTAAAATATATTTTACATAACAAAGGTAATTTCAAAATAAACTTTTAAAAGAAGTATTGCCTCATTAAAGATAATTTTTAACATTTAGTAGAAAAAAGTGAGAGGTGCCAGGGGACCCCCGTAGACCCCTAAACAAAGTATTCGCAGCATTGATCATTACAAAACCAAAGACAGCATTCTGAGGGTCTTCTTTTCAGCCTTTTTTTCTATCTATGCTTCTGATTTTGAAAAGATAGACGTAATTACACTGTACATGCTATTTTGGATTCCTTTGCCTCTTCAGATATACTTTTTTCATATAATCACTTGTTAGGGTAAAGTGTCACACAGGTATGTGGCTTTCAGTTGGACTTCTAAGGCTGTTCCTATTCCACATGATACTGCCATCCCCTTCTGTGTGGG